TGAACCGAAACAAATCTAAAAAATGAGTGAAATAAAATTGCTATTCAATAGTGAGTAAAGCAAAAATCCTTACCGTGTGCAGAGTTTGTAATCCATCAACGCGTGTCTTATTGATGTTTTCATTGATTTTGTCAATTTCGGCCAAAGCTACAACATTTTCATCATCATCTACCTCTTCTTCACCTTCCTTTGCCTCTTTACCACTTTCTTTCTTTTCTTTATCGTCTGTAACTTTTTTTTCATTGTCTATGCTACCATTCTTCTCTTTATTTTCCATTTCTTCATCCTCCTCCTTTTTGGAATCATTCCCGTAGAATTATTAATATCTTCCGGTTTTTTCGAATCCAGTTTATCTTCAGTTTTCTCTAAAATAACAAAATATATTCGTATTAAACAAATTTATTACACAAACAAAGCAGAAGTAAAAAAGAAATCTATATTTTGTTTTCACATATGGGAAGCTTAACAATCTCATGTGATGGAGACGGGATAAACTATGAAAGGTGAAAATTTTACTATTCCTTGGCCATTACTGTACTTAACCTCATTTAAACAAAGGTTAGCATGAACAAATACCAAGGGAAAGTGCAGACAATAAATTTAGGAAAAACTTTCTAGTACTTCTTATATTATATATTTTGTTGGTTAGGTGTAAATTAAGTTTTATATTCCTTCGATTTTTTATTATTAATTAAATATGCTCTCTTATGTATGTCACATATATTTTTCAAAATTTTGAGATTTGAACCTCTACTCTAAGACGGAAAACCATATTGGCGCGCACTTTTCTACCTCACACAACTTAGCTAGTTCAGCTAACGTTGCCCGCCTTTACTTAGCCTCTTTATGAAATAACAACAAACCTAAAGAGCACATATTTCATTTTTACATGTTCCACAAACTAGAGAATTAATTCAAATTCTCTCTTTTTTTTGTGTGTGCACTCACCTTCTTGCTCTTTGAATGACTTATCTTCTTTTTCCTCGTCAGTTTGTGCACCGGTTGCATTTTTTACTGCCATAGTTGCTGTCGTTGTTGTTTTCTCATCTACTGAATTATCAGTAATTTTTTTATCACCTCCACCCTCATCGTTTGATTTTTTATCATTCTCCACCGACTTATCGTTGGCAGAAATTTCAGCAGTTTTTTTAATTTCTTCAGTTTTACTTTCAGTTTCCTGGAATATTTACAAAAAAAAAAAATTATATGCAACAATTTAAGTTCCGTGCAGTCTAAACCGCACGCTCGATTGCAAAATAAAGAGCTTCACCCAACGTTCTTAAAAAACGAACTTTCCTGTACACGCAAAATTCTTTACCAAAATATTTTTGGTACCGAATCGAGAACTTTCATGAAAACCCTTTTGAACTATATAAAGATTTTGTTTTCGATATTTTTTGTGTTTCCTCTTTTTTCACATAGTTGTGCTAAACTTTGCAAAGATTATTTTTTATGTTAAGCATAAAAAATGCAAATCTATTCTCAAAATTCTTAAAAAAAAAAAAACTTTTGACGGCATATCTCTCATTAGTTCGCCTATTTCCGCGCGCTTGCACACACACATATAGACGTAAATACTCATGTGTACAATACACATAAACCTATATCGTGCACTTAACTAACAGCTCAACGAATAGAAAACAAGAATGACAAAAAAAAAAAACAACATAAAAACACACACGGTGGGAAAATGGACCGACGCCATGTTTATATACAGGAAAAAAAGAAAGCGTAACGCAAAGGCGAAAATTGAAAAAACGACGACGTCGTTGTGTTATAAAAAATCGTACACATTTCTTGCAGAAATGTAACGCGCTCGATTCATTTTATGCCGCTTATTTTTCTATAAATGCAATCAATTTTATCAAACTTCATTCGATTTTTATACGTTTCATTGGATTTTCATATTTTTAGTATTTTTTATTAATTTCACATACCATATTTCCAATGGTTTTATCTTTTTTTCACCGTCGACAAAATGCTACACTCTTCTCCAGCCACTGTTGCTAAATCAAGAATTTATTATCATCTTATGGGAATGTGATTACCTCTAACTAGAAATGATAAATGTTAATTAGGGATAATAGAATTCCCAATTAATTACCAAATGCAGGGTCTTCTGAAAATTCGTTTTGTATGATTGCCCAATTATGCTTCATAAAATGATAAATCTCTGCTAACTCTGTGAAGTCACATAAGATTTTTAACTCAGAGAGGTTGATAATAAAAAAACTTTAAGATTATATGTGATAAAAAAGTTTGTTATATCAAAATGAATTAATTTCTAACTTTATCATAAGTTTAGAATACTTTGATAAACTTTAGTATATTTACTTAACTATAAAAATTCCATTCGAATTTAAATTCGAATTTAAGGATAACATTATATACATATTACAAGTTGTAGTCACATAAGCACCTTTCAAAATGTTTGAAAGCACGGAAGGCCAATCGACTGTCAGTGCTTGCAATCGTTACAGCAACTAAAGCTTTAATATGCAAACGGCAATCAAGCAGGTGAATTTAAGCTTTCAGCAAAGAGGCAAATAAGGAAGGGTAAGGATGAAGTAAATCACTGAAACACAAGTAGACTTGTATCCTTTTTTGAGAATTTGATTCCAGCCAAGAATACCATTCAAATTTATTTCTAAGAAAGGAAAAAAATAAAATATTTTTCACTCACTTATTTATATTTTATCTATTAAGGGTTTTTATCCAATTAAGCTAATATTTATTATCTCCAGAGAATGTACTGTTTGTCAATTTTTTATGTTCTTGTGCTTGTTTGAGTAAGAGACTATTCTAATCAACCAGAAAAAACTTTGAATGAACACAATGACGAAATTAAAAACAGACACAAGGTTAATTCAATCCGTAGAACACAGATATGCTAAAAAATATTCTTTTATAACGGAGTAATATCAATACATATTAATATGAAGTTAACGAATTGGGGGCTTCAAAGAAGAATTCTGTGCTCGATTTCGTTTCAGAAACAATAGATGCTTCTCGTTCGTTGCATTTCCAACGGAATAGTTGTGACATCGTCGGTGGGCGTATAGTAAAATAGTGCAAAGAAGAGGAAGAAAAGTTATTGAATCAGCAGATGAGATATTTGATTACAAAATAAAACAAAAAAAAAAATGTCGGTCTGTAAATCCCCTTTTTACAACGAACATAATCCCTTATGTCTCAACGTTGATCGTCCAATTTTTCATAATAAATACTTAAAAGTTGAAAAAAATAAACGACTAGCTCCAAGATAAACATATTAAAAAAATTTAAATAAATGAAATTTAAACTGAAGCAAGTATACTTAAAAACTTAAATGTAACAAAAGTACAAATAAATGATTTAATATTACGAAGCAAAAGCAATGAATCACGGCCTACTACGTTTATCACCACACACAGGACTGCGTATAAAAACTATTGCGGTTGAAAGTGGTATAAACATTTATAATTTTTTAATATTTTGGAATTTTTGAGATGAAGTTGTTTTTCTCTGTCTATTAATTTGATCAAATGTGCATATTTATGTCGATTTTTTACTTTACTTTTCGTTTGAACATGAAGCTCGATAGAGCTTTTGCTTTCTAGCTAAAATATGGCACTTTAGATTTCATATCTAGCAAATACCCATACGCTATCGAGTAGCGTGAACTTAAAATGAAAATTCGCTGTCGGGTTAGCTTAATAACAAAAACAATTGTAGTTTATTTTCCATTTTCTTAATACAAATTGGAAAAATAGTACCGATTACCAAAACATTTCTTTGGAACTAAAGCAGAGTTGGTATAAAAAATACTTGAAGCGGCAATACAAACAAAAAACGCTAGTTAGTCTTTCAGTCGAATGAATCGATCAGAGATTATCTTATTGTATGCCTCATAAAATCCTGAATAAAATTGGATAATATGCCTAATTCTGGGACTCTCGAAATTAATAGTTGACATATGTCCTTAAGCAATTAAAGAAAGTGACATCAAAAATTGTTTCGGTCAGTGAAGCAAATCCAAATCCACATATTATATCTCCTCATTACTTGTACGAATATTGCGTGGTTTAAGATGCTGCTAGTACTATAGAAAGTTCTTCAGTAGTTCACAAACCCGCGCAGGATTCTGCTTTAAATGGTTCTTTAACGGAATTTTAAATAAGGAATACTGAAAAAAAATTTCATTCAAATTTTTTGTACCTAACAGAGATATTAGGTATTATTTCGAAGAGCATCGTAACTATTTTCAGATATTTGTTAATATTGATAATTTCCTTTAGAAAAATTTAGAAATTTCTAGAATCATCCAATTTCTAGAAGGCCATTCGTAAAGTTAATTGATTAGATTCTGCTACGTACACGTTAGTCAGATAAAATAACATTAACGTTGGCAAACCGACAATTCCAAAATCCGTGTTGGAGTTTAAAAATTTTATAATAAGATGGTACACCCAGATTATAGATTTTCGATGAAGCGTTCTGAATTGAACGCAATTCCTCATAACAATAACTAACAAATGCACAAAAAAATTTGACAACACGCAAAATTGCTAAATGAATCGAAAAATTTCTTAAAAAAAAATATAAAAAATTATGTAAAAAAAAAGTAAGTATTGTGGTGATGAAGTGTTCTTATACAAATCCTATACAAAAATTATAAAAGAAAAAAAAATTATTGTATTAAAAATTGTTAATTCATAATTTAAAGTGATTGTTAAAAATATTGAAATATTGTCTAAGGGACGAGCGAGAAGACGTATAAAGGTTTCTGGAGAAATTGCAAGAATTTCACCTGAGTACATCCATATTAATTTTTTTACAAATATTTTTAGAAAGAGACCCATCTAAGATTCATATAGTTTCCCTGGAAATCTCGTTGGTGTCCCCTTAGTTGCTAGCAATTCCTTAAAAAAATTGTTGAATTCATTGATTTACTGGAATATTATTGTTGAGTCTGTCCATTTAATTATATTTGTCTTAAGTAGAATAATATTCAGAAACAATATTCAAAGCTTCGGTAATTTGGTTATCTTGAATCATTTATTTGTAAAGATATGAAAGATTCAAAGCTTTTTAATACATTGTTAGCATGAATAAAAATAACTATAATAATAGCACTGATGGAGGAAAATCGCCGCCACAAGGCGAAAGCCGTGAAAAACTTGGCGAATATCGAGGGCTTGAAGTAGGACATGAAGCTGATGTCAGAGTGCGAGGAAAACGGACACTCCAAAAAGTCGTGGAGAAGTTGACGATATGCGACAAAGTAGTACAGACGAGTTTTGACGAAATGTATACAAACAGCATGATAGTCTATAATCGAGGGGAGGACAGACTTGTCGGATGAGAAAATAGCTGCAGCAGTAATTGTTCTCATCTTCGGAGTGCAAAGAGTGTTGAGGGATTTCAACGTAATACTTAACGGCTACCTGTTCACGCGCTATAAAGCAATGATGGATGGAAACTTGGAGGACAACCCCTACCTCGCGGGGGAGATTGGTTTGGATATGAAAGCTGTCGTTTACGACAGAATTTCTACCAACAAGGATGTCTTAATTAATTTCATAAATTGAGTCTACAACAAAAAGCGCGCAGACGGCAGCACACATCACATACTTTTAATATAAGAGTACCCGGACATCTTGGAAGTGTTTAAGAATAATTTGAGACGTGCAACCAATTACCAAGGCATATACGACCAGTCGATATTTTTCAAGCTGGCGTAAATGAAGGCGACTAGCTCTAGATTCTGGGCGCGAAGAGGCTGCATGCCGTCACTCTCAGCCAAAGGACTGTATAAAGAGCTGGCGCACAGGCTTAGCGTGGAGTTAAACTGCACAGTAACGGTTTCGCGTATTATAATGAGTTTACAAACAATCAGAGACGCTATAAAAAAACTTGAGACAGGTTCGTCCCATACCGCTCTCACACCATATGCGTGGTATGCTGAAGAGCTGGGATGTAAGCAGGCAGCTAAAACGATGAAAAGACTTTTAGCACGTGAAAAGGCCACTCGAGAAGATACCCGTCTGGCGAAAGGAAAATTTTCTGCTTTCGAGGAGGGTGAGGAGGTTCTGAATACATCCACCGTAGATGAGGTTTTATTCCGACTAAGGCGTACGATGCGCGAACTGAAGTTTGAAACTGTTTTAGAAGTATCTTCAACTGCGACATCGCCAGGATCATCGACGGGGCGATCTACTCCAAAAGAGATGATAATGACTCCAGAATCACTCAACAAAATACGTGCCTCGATGCTCTTGGACAGATTCCTAAAGGACTGCGGGAGAATAGTTACTAAAGACTGCGAGGTCCATAACGAGAGCTACGACGGACCGTCACTGGCTGCCCAGTCAAAACAGTCAAAATTCGCTCAACTGAGCGAAAAAGACAGAATTGTACAAATCCATTTTGACGAGGTGTACACTAACCACGCGACAGTGTACTCGCGACGAGACGACGAACTGTGGGGTTGCGACTATTCGACCCAAAAGAAAACGAAGACAACGGAACACCAAAGTGTGCTGGTCTTCGCAACACGCAGTCTTCTCACTCCCTTGAACGTTGTGCTGAAAAGCTATCCCTTCACAACAAATAAAGCAAAAATGGGACCGGTTTTGGAAGAAAACATCAAAGCGGCTGAAGAGATGAGACCGGACGTGAGAGCTGTCGCCTGCGACCGAAATCGGGCAAACATACAGCATACCCGAATATTTGCAAACAACGTATACAATAGAAAGCTGGCAGACGGCAGTTCACACTGCTTTTGTACGATTATCCTAATATAGTGGCAGCAATTTTTAAAAAAATAAGGGGCTACAAAGACCATTTTGATCTCAATGTTTTGTTGATAGTATCAGAAATGCGACCGAAAAGTTCTTCTTGACTGCAACAGAGAGGGTGGATGCCGACATATAGCAAGGCATGGGGGTTAGCCATTACGATGCAGGCGATGAGCGATTTGCAAGTCGCAACAATCCAAGCGGCAGTCGACAACGAAGAAATCGAAGACAATGACGGAAAAGCGCAAGCAGTCT